CCACCGCAGCCCCGCGGGCGGCCGCATCCCGCCCGGCCGGAGCCCCAGCCTCCGGCAGCCGGCTTGGCCCGGGGTGGCGGAAATGGCGCGGGGCCCGAGGGGAAGGAGGAGGAGGGGGCGGCGGGGCGGGTGCGCGGGAGAAGCGGAGGCTCCGCCTTGCCAGACGGCAGACTGGCTCTGGCCCAGCTTCCCCCCTGCCCCGGCTGCACACTTGACCTTGGTCCCGCAGGTCGGCCCTTCGCCCTGCACCGCTCCGGGCCCACCCCGCCCCAACTAACAGTTGCTCTGGACAGCGGGCCCCAGGAGGGTTCTTTCTGCCCCAGGTTTGGGGACTCCGTTCTCAAAGCTTCCATCAGGGCCACCCAATTTCAACAGTTCCTCTTCCTTTCTATGAACAACGGCTAGTTTCTTTTTCGTTTCCACGGTTCACATTTTGCCTTTTTGTTAGTGGCAATGACAAATTGGAAATTTAGTTCATTAACATTAATTTCTATGTCTGAGCTCCTGAGCACACATTTCAGCGCAGAGGGTCTGTCTGATCCCCGCAAAGGTTCAGTCAGATAGTTTATCACATTGACTTGTCCTAGAAAAAAACATGTGATGTGGCATCAGGATTGGAGGAAGGCTTATTAACAACCTGTGGTATGCAGATGACACACCTTGCTTGCTGAAAGTGAGGAGGACGTGAAGCACTTGCTGATGAAGATCAAGAATTGTAGCTTTCAGTATGGATTACAGCTCAATGTAAAGAAGACCCAAATCCTCACAACTGGACCCATCATGATAAGTGGAGAAAAGGTTGACATTGTCAAGAACCTTGTGTTGCTTGGATCCACGATCCGTGCTTAAGGCAGTAGCAGTCAAGTAACCAACCACATTGCATTAGGTAAATCTGCTGCACAAGACCTCTTTAGAGTATTGAACAGCAAGGATGTTACTTTGATGAAGAGCTAAGGGATGCCTAACCCAAGCCATGGTACCACACTCCATTGCTCCATGTGCCCGTGAAAGTTGCACATTGAATAAGGAATACTACAGAGGAATCAATGCGTTTGAATTGTGGCGCTGGGGAAGGATAGTGAAAGTACCATGGACTGCTGACAAACTGACCTGTGTTAGACAAAATAAGGCCAGAGTGCTTCATAGAGGCAAGGATGACAAGACTTCATCATACCTACTTTAGATACATTGTCAAGAGAGACCAGTCCCCGGAGAGGGACATCATGCTCAGTAAAGTGGAGGGGCAGCAAAGGAGGGGAAGACCCTCAAGGGGATAGATGGGCACAGTGACTGCATCAATGGGCTCACACATAGCAATAATTGTAAGGATGACACACAAGGCCATGCAGTGTTTTGTTCTGTTGTGCATAGGGTTGCTAAAGGTTGGGATCAAATCGATGGCACCTAACCACAGCAGAAATTGTATATTTACATACATATACATATAGGTATATATATGCAAAGATAGATACAAAGCTATTTCTTGAGTTAATATTGAGAGTTACTATGGAATTTGTGAGCTTAAATAACACAGCATTGTATTTTTATATTTGTTTTTTAAAAACAGACCCTCCTAGGGCCCTTGAAATCTGTGATTGTGATTTAATATACCTAGTTAACCTGTGGGTCGCAACCCCTTTGGGGGTCGAACAACTCCTTCACAGGGGTGGCCTGATCCATCACAGTAGCAAAATGATAGTTATGAAGTAGCAATGAAAATTATTTTATGGGGGGGGGGGGCATGGCATGAGGAAGGTGGAGAACCGCTGCCTTAGAGGAACCCTGGGGATGTGTTGTGCTAACCACTAGGTCAGCAGTTCCAAACCACCAGCTGCTCTGCAGGAGAAAGATGGGGCTGTCTACTCTCTGGAAGAGCCAGCCTCTGAGACTCACACGGACGGTTCTACCCGGTCTTATAGGGTCACTATTAGTAGGCACTGACGATGCCAGTGAGAGTTAACACTAAATAGGACAAATGGCCATTTCCTTTTCTCCTATTTCATCTTCTGCTGTGGTAACTTAGGGGGCACAATTTTAACAGAGATGGGTTTGTAAAAGGAAGCAGCTTCATTTATTTTCTTGAAAGTCTGGGTACCCAACCCACTGCTGTGAAGTCAATTCTGACTCTTAGAAACTCTACAGGACAGACTGTTAATCAAGCTTTCTATTTAGAGGTTCTGAAAAGATTGCGTAACCGTGTGGGACAAAAAAAGGCCTGATTTGTGGCAGACAGATGACTGCGTTTGCCACCACGACAGTGTACCTATTCATGTAGCTATCTCAGTGCACCAGTTTAGGGGCAAAAACAACATGCCCCTTTTGTCCCATGCACCTTATGCACCTGAGCTCACTCTGTGTGACTTCTTTTTGTTTCCGCAAATGAAGAGGGACATGAAAGGACAGTGATTTGATGACGCAGAGAGGTGAAGAAAAAAAGGAGGGAGGTGTTGTCAGCCATTGTGATAGTCTGGGTACTTTAGAGAAACAAATCCACAGAAACTCATGCATAAGAGAGAGTTTTATGTAAAGATTAAGTGTGCATCAAGAAAACATCCCAACCCAATGCTGTCCAAGCCCACAAGTCCAACATTAACCCATATGTCCAACACCAATCCACAAAGTCCTCCTCCATCTCACAAAACAGAGGCCATGATGCCAACTGCAGGAGGAAAGCTGAGTCACTGAATGTATAAGCATCTCAGCACTGGCAGGGGTCTCCACACGGTGCTCCAGCACCCAGGGCTGTATCGGGGTAGGTCCATGTGGCTTCTCCTTGGGGATGTCTTGCAGGAAGTCAGCCTTGCCAGCTGAAGCAGGGAATTGGCTAAGGCAGCTGCACCCTGGTGTGACCATCACAAAGCAAGAGACCCAGGAACTAGAAAGGCGAGGCTCACTGAGCCTTTTATCCTCCGTCCCTGTCCTTCAATTAACCCCACGTGTTTATCGGCCAGGTTGGCACAGTAAACTAACTAACTCCGCCATCCAAACAGATGAGTCTGAAAAATGTTTCCAAGAATGGAATCTCAGATTTGACAAATGTATTAAGTGTAATGGAGAGTACTTTGAAGGTGTAAGGTTGTTTTTAAAAATAAGCAAATACATAGCTTTGAAAAAAAAATTCCAGGTTTTTTTTTTGGGGGGGGGGGGTGTTTCCCTTCATACTTCCGATATTCTTCGCCAGCACCATAATTCAAATGCATCAACTCTTCTTCAGTCTTCCTTATTCCATGTCCACAGCTTTTGCAGGCACATGAGGGCCTTGAAAATAGCAATGTCTTATGCCAGGTGCACCTTAGTCCTCACAGCGACATCTCGGCTATTCCCTACTTTAAAGAAGTCTCGTGCAGCAGCTTTCCAAAATGCAATGCATTGTTTGATTTCTTGACTGCTGCTTCCATGAGTATTCACAATCAGAATCCAGCCAAGATGAAATCCTTTAAATTGCCAATCTTTTTGCCTTTTATCACGAGGTTGCCTATTGATGCAGCAACCAATAGACAGACATATAAAGGAAATAACACTAGAGAGGAAGGTATTCCTCAATACAACAAAAATAGAACACCAAAAGAGCAGCATTTTCAGAAAAACAAAGCTCAGAAGGAAGGAAAGAGGACCTGGGGATTTGGAA